GGCACCAGAAATTGACACAACATTGTAAACTGACTATAACTCAATAAATAAATTAAAAAGAGCAAAGAGGTAAATTCAAAACCTGCATACAGAAATGTTACAGCACAGATTAAAAAAAAAAGTACCTGGTCAAAAAAGAAATCATAGTGGAAACAAATTGTAGATAAACAATCATAACACTATATACTTTAAAAAGGGGGGGGTTACTCTAAAGCAGTATTGAGAGGAAAATTTGAAGCCTTCAATGCTCATATTAGAAGAAAAATAGAATGGAAATCGGTCAGTTGAGCATATAGTACAAGGAGTTAACGGAAGAGCAATACACTTGCCCTAATGAAAATGAATCAATTGGGAAGACGGGCAACTTCTGGCAAGACCGAATAGAAGTTGGGGGTAGGGAAGGGAAGGGAATGAATGAGAAGAAGGTCGGGGGTGGCAAATATAAACTGTCTTTTGAAGACAGAACTATCTTTTTATAGATGCTGCGGAGATTAAGAAGAATATAAAGTGATAGCATTTTCAGCTTTACAGCAATAAATCTGAACACTTAGAAGTTCAAAATCCTGGAAAAATTTAATGGCCTCAAGAAGGAACAGATAAACTCTAAAAACTGAGTCAGTAGTTTAAAAACAGTCTTTCCACAAAGAGAGGCCTATGCCCAGGTAGTCTTGTATGTTAATTTTAACAAACAATCAAGAAACCATTTCAAACCAATACAACTCTCCCAGAGAACAGAAAAATAGGAAACTTCAGTCATTTTATGAGATGAGCTAAGTGCAATAGCTAAATTACCCAAGGAGAGTAAATCCTATTAAATATAGGAACAAACCTCTTCAACAGCATATTAACAAATCAATCTAGCAATGTATAAAGAAAAATAATCATGAAAAAAATTGAGTTTATCCTAGAAATACAAACCTGGATTAACATTGGGAAGATCAATGCATTAATTACCAGGGAAAAAACCTATACGATCATGCTAATAGATTAAGAAAAATCATTTGATAATGTGAGTATCTATTCCTGACTTATTAAAAAGGAAAAATCCTTAGAAATTACACTGATAAAAAAAATCTATCAAGAAAAGAGTAGAAACATCATATTTAATGGAGAAAAGGTCAAATTATTTCTGTTTAAGATCAGGAAAAAGAATGCTTTCTATTACCACCTCAGTCCAACTTTGTGATGGTGGTATTAAGGGCTAGCTCAATGATATAAGAGAAAAAATAAAATGAGACGTATGAAGATTAGAAAGAAAAGAGCTGTTATCCTTCAGAACTTATTCATTGCCTACCTTGAAAAACCTCAAACATCAAAGAATATTTAGATACATTTTTAGAATCAATATGGTTTTACTGGCGTTGCTGGATACAATGTAAATTTTCACTATTACTTGTCTATAGGCTGGGAATAATTAGATCGTACCCCGTTAGAAAATGTCTTTCACAAAAGTCCCCAAAGTATAAAGAATTAGTAATGAATAGGAAAAAAAATTAGTGAAAAGACTTTGCGAGGAAACTTTAAATGTATACTGAAAAATAATAAACGAGGTAAAAATAAGTCAAGAGTTAGAGCAGTGATACCAAAGTTGAAGATGTGTCTTTCAGCCTGAAACCATGGGTGAGGACCAGCTCGGGGGGCCAAGTTTTACCTGGTCCCGGACCGTCAGTCACTCCTGGTTTTCAGCAGGCTGGACCCAGCATCAGTTTCCATCCCTGAACTTACGACTCACGGGTATCACTCACCTGGAGATGCCCAAATCTGTCTCTGAGAAGGGTGATCGAGCAGATCAGAGGCTGTGTTTCATCTCTGAATGAAATAGTTCTGAGAGTGCGTGCATTAAGAAACACATTTTAAGCATTCATATGCAGGCACTGCATGCAGGATCGCAGCTACACAAACGATGTTTTTACAGCAAAGAATATCTCGCCCGTGATGTGTTCAGGGACCTTATTTGTCGTGAATGTCTGTTTCCACCCTCATATTCCATTCCTTAAATATGCCTTTTGTGCCTGTAGAGTGACACCCATTACAATGTCTTTATTTCCAAAGCGGTAACAGCTAAACAGTGGCAATCATTTTTAAATTTCTATCTACAAGGGGATTTGGGGGAACAAACTTCCTCACGATCTAGAACTCTGTAATTAGCAATTTCACCCTGTTCCCTTCATCAGTGTGTCAAGGAAAGGCTGAATCATGGAGGGTTTGTTTTAGTCAGTGTTACCGAGATCAGGGCTGGGGAGGGCAGTGACTGACTGTGACTGAAGAACCAGAGAAAACAGAACAAGGCACTTTCCCCAAATCCTGCACTGTATTTATTTTGAAATGTTTTGCTCACAGTATATTGATTTGTGTGGTCAAATGCTTGCTGATGTAGCTGCAGGAAGGCATACTTTGGAAGATCACACAGTATTGTGTTATATAACATAAATTATTAGATTATATTATATATGTGGTAACATTCTAACCTTTTACAACACTCAATATTAAATAACTTAATATTAAGCTAGAAGCAACTCTCAGCCATGAGTCTTGAGTCTTTGTGTCTTGTCTTCGGATACTTATGCTCTGCCTGTCCCTTCACGTGGGGTCATGGCAGTGTCTGCTTTGAGCTGATCCAAATCTTTAGCAAGCAGTCCTGTTTAGCAGTTGAATGGAGGTGCAAGGCTGGACACCTAGAGTGCAGAGGTCATGAGGTTGGGGCACGGACTTGGGAGTGGATGGAATGCAAGCCGTTTTCTCAAGAGACAGGAAACCAAGACTGTGGGATACAGAGCACACTTCCTGCTGGACCAGAACCAGAAGTCTTACTGTTTTGCTCTTGGTGGATTCATAGTACTGCCATGACTTACCATCCTGGTCTGTAAAAATATCCCTTGGCTAAGATGGTCCAGGATTGATTCTTGAAGGTGGTTTTTTTCCCCCTTTGGTTTAGTTATGTCTACTTTGTTGTCATTTTTAATCTGGGACAATTGCTGTCCTTTGTCCTTTTGTTACATAATTTGCCTTTGCTTACACATCATTACCAGCATTTGACCTAAATTGAGTGAATTGTTGCTGTTTTCTCAGTCCGTACCGGTGAACTCAATCTGGATAATGATACAAATTTATTAACAGCAAAGGAAAACTGAAGTTGAACTTAAGGTTCCTTTCTTTATTCCAATAATTTTAATAACAGAGAAGAACAGATACATGTTCCCATTGTTGATTCTGGTCCTTTTCCCTTTCCTTTTAGAAAAAACTTTGTGTTGCCTTGCCAGCTGAAGATGGAATTCGGCGTGAAGACTGTCTTGGGCTCCATCAGGGGAATCACTGAAATGACAAAGGGCCCCTAGCATCTCATGATGTACTGAGGGCCACAGTGCACTCTACGGAATTGGTGTGAAAAATAAAGAAGATGGATAGGGTTTTATCCCTTGCTGGAATGTTCTTGAAAACCCATAGCTATGGGGTTTTCCTAAAAAAAATCCTTTAAGCAAGATCTAATTGCCCTCTACTGAGTGCGCCACCTACTGGATGAAGACTCATTGGTGAAGTATCATTTCATGACAGCATGGGACGCTGGCCCCAGACTCTGGGGTCCAGGCTGGTGGTGCTGGACCATGTGGACAGTTCGTTTTGCCAGGACAGGCGATCACCAGGCCCTGGAACCCAGAGAATTTCCCAGAAGTTCTTGGCCACTGTCCCATCAAGTCCAAGGTCACCATATTGCAAAATGGCGGAGGAGAGGTTCAGATTCTCACTAAGGATCCTGTGTCTTTCCCATTGTGCTGACTCTTGGCCAGGGGAAACTTGGTGTGGCCTGGCGGGATAAGGGCCTCAGAATTCTAGCCCCAGCTGATGAAGAATCTCCCTTCCTCCGGGTCATCGAGGTACTGACTTGCAACCAACATCACGTGAAAACTCCAAGCAGAGGCCCCAGGTCGCAACCCCTGTGCTGTCCTAGCTTGCGTGCTGCTGCGACTTTGTAAATAGCTTTATCTCCCTTGCCTCAGTGATCAAGGTGTCCAACGGCACAAGCTCAGACCGCGACGGAAAAAAATAATAATTTATCCCATGGCTGGGATAAATGCACTCTGCAGTCTCAAATGTACCCCATCGATCATTCTTCAAAGCAGAAACCATGTGTGTCAACAGAGAAGCGGTCTTTATTATGGGGAACAAATTCCACGAATGTGTGTGCTATTGATTCTCGGTCACAGATGCCCTTTTCCTATTTGTGGGACATCGACGTTCTGCACAAAGCCCTCTCTGTTTAGATAATTGCGCCTGACACTTCTGCACCTACATCCCGAAGGCTCGATGCTGAAGTTTCTACTCTCCTTACGTGAAGAGGGCAGCCCGCTGTCCCCACAATGAGGTCTGGTTCTTCCTGCCAGTTCTCGGAGCGACTTGGAGAACAGAGAGCCGATTTGCAGAGGGACCGCTTGGTGGAGAGGTAAGAAACGCTTCGCTTGTTTAAATGTAAGCTTATCTGTGGCAAATACAGAAAATGCATCTGGGAAGGTTCCTTTTACGGAGCCCATTTCTGTGGCCTAGGATATGAACCCTGAAAACTCCCTCTGAGTGGTGATCAGCATTTACAAACAGGAGTCTTCCCTGTTTTGCGTGGTTCCGTGTTGGCTCACGTTTGAAAGGCCCTTTGTGTGGCTAATGGTTTTGTGTGTATTCCATGCTCAGACAATCAGAGGGGAGGGTTTTCACCTTGATATTGTGGGCTCTTGGGATGGTAGGTACAGGGAAAGCTCTGATTCTCATCTGAGAGGTGTAATGCGGGGTTGAAGTCTCCAAGAAGCAGTAGTAAGACTCTGTTTCGTGGCTGGATTTTTGTTTTAATGGAACCCACGTTCAGAATTCTCCAAGGGAGGAACTGAGACAGTGGTGCTGATCCTGACTTCAAAATGCCTCTTCTCACGCCTCCTTGAGTACATTCACGTCCAGAACTGTACCCGGGGCTGCCGTTTAGAGCTCCAGGCTCACCATCTGTGGTGGTCTCTGTAAATATATCCACCAAGTGGCGCCATTAACTTGGACCACCATCTGTGGCTGGGTCCAACCTTGACCCTAGGGGTGCAAGACCGGGGCTGCACCCCAGAGGTTTCTGTGACATCCACTGATTACCCCTCCCACCCCCATCCATCATTGAAATCGTTACTCTAGTATAACTTTGTGGATAAAACGCTTGGCTTGTTTAGTTAGTATGGTCTCTGTTAGGTCCTGAAATGCTGAGTTTGCAATGACCTGGGGACCACTGGTTGTCCCCTTCTTTGAAAAGATGAATAATGATTGTCCGGGGAGATTGCGTTTTAGAATATGAGTGCAGAGAGGCCCAACATACATGGCCAAGTAGAAGACGCCCGGTCTGTGCTGCGTGCTGCCGTGTCCCTCCCCGGGTACACTCCCTCCACTCTCAGATTTACCTGAACCCGGGCTCAGTCCATCCACCGTCCACTGCCCCACTCCCCTCCCCTCAGGGTCCCCACTGAGACGCCCTGTGCAGGTAGCTTCTTGCATTTTGCACCGTTACACAACGCAAAGTAAGGATGGTAGCAGCTCTTAGCTTTAAATGATAGCATACCTTCCAAAACCGGATTGTACAGAATGACTCAGTGGTTGGTGTGTGGCGGGTCATTGCTGGGTTAGGTCAAAACCTATTGCCTGGGGCTCCAGGCATTGAGTAGAAAGCGTATAAAATGAGGTATTCTTTCCCATTCAGATTCACTTAAACACATGAAAGTGCGCCGTGCTCAGACAGCGTGATTCTCCCTTCCGTGTTATCAGATACAGTAGATTGTGTCCCCCAGTTGTGACTGGGGTTTAGAGGCGAACTGGCTTTTGTGAAGAGATCTGTTGCAAAGGGCACGGTGGGGTCTGCCTTTACTCCTAGGATGGGCCTCCCGCCACCCCGCCCCCGTTCTAGACGAGTGTGTGTGTGAGTGGACAGCTGGGCCCCACAGCCCACTCAGTCCACACGTACGATTAGTTATCACGTCACAGCAGAGGTCCCAAGTACCGAGCGCTACACGCAGCACGGCAGACGTGCGTGTTCTGTGTACGACTGCTGCGCAGCGGTGCCGAGAGCAACGAGCGGTGCCGCCTGCTGGGTGTATACGGCCAGCCGCGCTGCCGTCCTCGCCTTTCCACGTGCTCTTGCATTTCGTCCTCACGACGGTCTTTGGGGCAGGCAGTTTTGCTTCCTGTGAGGTGACTGAGCTGCAAAAGTCCGGTGAGCAAACCGGACGGCTGTAACCGGTGGGCGGCAGGGCTGGGCTTTGAGTCCAGCTCTCTGGGATTCTGGCCTTAACCCTGACGTTGTAGAGCCCTCTGCTTGTCCTCTTATTTATAGGGTGGCACACCCTTTATATGGTGCCACCCTTTCTATGGTGGCACAGGGTATAATCGTGTGCTCAGATATGAGAGCAATGTGTCTTTTCTGCGTCCCTTGATGTGTTTCTCTAAATGACTATTTACGAACAACCTCTCTCCTCTCAAGTGTGTAGGAAAAAAATTCCTAGGGCTGCGTTAAGCCTCTTATAACCCAGAGCCTCTCTGCTGCCTCTTGTTTTAAAAGAATGCTTGGAAGGAGATAAATCCACAGCTCTCACGGTGGATCCTGACGTGGGCTTTAGGGGGACCATTACCATGATATTATGTGTCAGGGAGCAATCTTCCAATGACACGTCAGTGACCCCAAAGAGCCTTAAATCAAAGAAGACAGTCTTGGGTTGAGACTATGTGGTGCAAAAAAAGACAGGCACTGACTTTTTTTTTTATTTTAAATAAGCAAATATCACACAGAGGACAGTTGTTTAGCTTCTGATTCTTTGGATTTTGACCTGGGTCCAAGCAAATGTCATTGTGTTCCAGGCACTGAAATTGGATGGTATTGGGAAAAAAGAACTCCAAAGTTGCATGGCAGTCGTGAGTTCTTGCCTGGAACACTTGTAAAAGCAGGTGATAAATGTCTTGGGAGAGGGGGCAAGGTCTTACTCACCATTTTATCCCTGGCTGCTTCGTCAGTGCCTCGTTGCAAACACAGGGGAGCCCCAAACCCTTTTGTTTGTCTGTGCCAGGCAAACGCTTTGCTTAGAGCACCTTGCTAGTAAATAAAGTTCCCCATTGCCTGTGACAGACACAGAGGTGGGCGCACCGTGCACGGCCTGGAACACAGTTCTTGAAAAAGCACCAGGATAGGTGCGCTAATGCGAACTGCATATCCCTGCGTGGCTGGAACAGCTGTGGGGTCTTTGTGGAGGAAAACGGGACAGAAGCAGCAGACGGCCAAACGTCACCCAATACCCAACTCCTCCCTCAGGCGGAGAAAGCTCGCGCTTTCTGTCCTGCCGGAGGGGACTTAAACAGTGCACGGGAAATTGTGCAGACGTCTATTCTTAGACTTAGGGTAGAGGTGAGACGCCCTGGTTTGTCAGGCATGGCTGAAACTCCAGACGGAGTCACACAGACGGGCCTGGGTTGTAGTTTTCAGAAAACATAGGAAGAGACCCTCAACAACCATGTAAAGCAAATGTCAGGCGCTCTAAAGGCCATCACGCGCGGAACTAAAAAGAAAAAGGGAAGATAAAGCCAAAGCGATCCTGTGCAATGGCCTTGGGAAAAGTGAAGGACACGTTCCCCCAGCACGATTTCACGGCACGAACGTTTGCACTTTTGAGGGACTGCAATCACTTAGACGTCTGTACACTCTGGGACCTGCGTAACAAAATGAGAACTTGGCAGAGTTCCCGTGTTATGTCACAGACGAGTTTGTGTCGCAGAAATAATAGAATCTAACCCAAACACCGGACTTTGTGGAACTGTCTTCAATCTAAAGGGAAGGGTGAATTGAAAATGAGACCGAACTACGAGACATTGATACCTGCAGCTGTGAGCGCCTTCAGTTGATTGTGTGTGAATGCTCTGATAGACTCCGACGTGCCGGGATAGCATTTCAATCAAGCGCAGTTTATGAAATTAGGCAACTTAATGAGAATGTGTGTCTTATTTTATTTGACTTTTTTTTTTTAATTCTCTCAGAGGCAGACCCTGCCAAATTAAAACACTGGTCCAGCAGGGGTGACCGACACATCTACTGCTGGTTAAAATCACAGCTCCCTAGCCTGGGGAATGGATTCTGTGAGCCTGGCAGCATCGAGAATGTTACAGTCCTCAACACGTGCAAAATTATAGTCATTGTCTCTCTTCACGCTCTCCCTCAGAATCATTAATTGGTTTTTCCTCTTTGTACTCGAGTTACAGAGTACATTTTAAAATGTTTCATTAATTCCTAGCAGACTTCAGACCCTTTGAACGTAGGTTTCCCCTCTGCAAATGCAGAAGTTCGTTTTGTCTCATTGATGAGGGGCGTGTTTATCCTCTCTGAGCTTCGTGAGCCCTTCTTCTGAGCGCCGTGTTGCCGGC